CCCCCTCTCTCTCTCTCTCTCTTTTTTTCTCTCTCTTTTTGTTCTCCTTATCTCTCATCAATTTTAAATTATGAGTCAAAACAATGTATGATTATATTGTCTATGCCACCATGTTCATTCCTTTAAAACAAAAATTCAGATGGAGCCTGCTACGTTATGTCACATGAAAACGTAGGTCAGACACATGACACCTGGCGACTCATCATACTAGAATTCAAAATGTTTGAAAAAAAAAATCGAAAAAGCAAAAACAAAAAAACAAACAAAATGGGCAAAATGCAACCAAAAGGAGCACACGATAAAAAGCACGGTGTACAATAGTTTTCATACGAGTATTATTACCTGAAATAAGTAGAAGGTGTGAGGTTTGAATGTTGGTGCACTTGAAATTACTAGAGGTGTTTAATTTGTCAAAGAATTTATTTACTTTGTAGCTAAACTGAAACCAAGTGAATACATGTACTTCTTTGTTTCACATACAAGACGCCTAACATCAGAAGTAAAGACCGGTATAAGGTAGTTTGAATATGTGATAGGAAATGTGAATGTACTTTTGTATTATATCTGTATTTGTATTAAATGTTGAAAAACATTGCGAGTCTTTATGGTTGTTGCAGGTAACGTGCAACGAGCAGAGCTTGGATTGTGCTGTTGAGGAGACTTCATCCTGTAATTTACAGGAAATCATCTGATTTGACTTTATTTTACAGGAAACTTGGAATTTTCTGCTCTTCAATCGGTGATCCAATTTGTCTAATGCCTCTAATATATTTTCTAGTGACCATCTTTTGTCACAATATACTTTGGAAATAGACAGAACGTGAAAGAAAAATGAGAGTGTTCTTTCCTTATTTTGTTTTGCTTATCAAAATTCCACAAGTTGTGATTTTATTTCTTTATAAATGGTTAGCGTCTTTACTTTTGTTTCTAAAATATAATTTTGTGAACAACTAATGTTCAATCAACTCTCACTTCTGCATCATGGAGATCATACATTTTGCATTTTGGAGCAAGCCCATTTGCTTAAAGCCAAACTCAAACAGTTTATGTTGTAGGAGCGACTGGTCCTGAGGCCTCCTTTTTCGTGGTTCTTACCTCCTGTGTGTCGTCAGAATTAAATCAGAGAGGGTTTACCGTAAACCTCTCTGATTGAATTGAGTGGTTGAAAAGCGGGAGTTCAGCTTTTTCCGAGTCAATCGGCCTTTGTAACTTCACCCCTTCCCTTGTCTGTCTTTTCCCTCTACAAATAATATTTTACTGTGACGTGTAGGCCTACCATACATTCTGCTCCTTCCATAGATTTAAGTGGAATGTTAAGCTGTTTTATGAAGTCATGTAGAACAGAAATAAAAGTCATAAAGGGGGGGG